TTTTTTTTTGAAAATGCTCAATAATATGGCATTACACTGGAAAATGTAGCATTTCACCAAATTACACTAAAAAGCATCACAATTATCACATTTTTTGGAAAATTCCACATTACATTAAATTATACTAAAAAATGTAGCACTATACTAAATTATGCGGCATTGCACTAAAAAATACCACAATTACACTAGACAATGTAGCATTACACTAAAAAGTACCACAATTATTATATTTTTTAGAAAATTTCGTGTTATACTGGAAAATGTAACATTATGCTAGAAAATGTGGAATTGCACTAAAAAATGCAGAATTGCACTAAAAAACGCGGAATTGCGCTAAAAAACACAAAAAAAATACTACAATTATACTGGATAATGTAGCATTACACTTAATTACATTAAAATTGTTAATTTTTATTTTTATTTATTTGTAAATTACGAACATTATTAAATTTATAATATTTATATTCTAAATGAATTATTTAACATTAAATCATATTATTAATATAAACAATGTATCAACACGATGTGTTGTGATGTTTAATTTAGTACTAAACCTTACTACTGAAGACTCCCTCTTTTTATCACTATAAACAGGCGGAGGGAGCAGCAATGGCTCTTCCCCTATAGGTACTCTATGGCCTCTACCTGTTTACAAAGGAGGGGCTTTTCGTAAAGTTATTAGATAGATATATATATATGTATATATATAAGTATATATATACATCTATCATTAAATTTATAAAAAAAAAGAAAAAAAAGTTTCGGGGAAAAGCCCCTATTTATATTAAATTTTTATCACGTGCATCACGTGATATTACTTAATAATTACGGAATTACCGCAGCTTCAGCTGCGGTACAACGAAAAAAAAAAATTAAGCTTTTTTTAGCAAAAGCTTAATTTTTTTTTCTCACGGCTCTCAATTTTCTATTCTTTTGTCCTTTCCCATTTTCTCTTTCGCTTTCACCATACCTCTTTCTCCCTTTCCTCTTCCCTCTGCCCTTCCCTTCCCTCTTTTTCTTTCCATTCCTTCCCTCTTTCACTTTCCCCTTCCTTCTTTCGCTTTCACCTTCCCTTTTTCTCTCCCCTTCTTCCTCTTCCTTCTGCCCTTTCCCTTCCCTATTTTTCTCCCACTCTTTCCCTTTTCTCTCCCCTTTCCTCTTCTCCGGAATCGTCCTTCAGAAAAACAATGGTAAGTTTCAAAGTGAAATGCTTCGAAACTTTTTTAAATTCTTTTTTTTTAATTCTTTGTTGTAAGGAAATGTTTCTAACGTTTCCTTTCTTCTTTTTGTAGGATTTTTGATGTTTTGACTTTAGGAAACGAGGGAACGAAATGATGGTAAGTTTTGAAGCATTTTCGCTTTGAAACTTTAAAAAAAAATTTTTTTTTTACTTTTATTAGGAACATTTTTAACGATCCTTTATTTTTTTTGTATAGGTCCTTCGGCATGCTTCTTTGGGATTCGAAATGGTAAGTTTCGAAGCATATGCTTCGAAACTTTTTGAAATTTTTTAATTTCTTTTAGGAAACTTTTCTAACGTTTCCTTTCTTTCTTTTTTTGTGTAGGTCTTTCGGTATTCGACTTCGGGAAGCAAGGAACTGAAAGGGTAAGTTTCAAAGCGTTTCGCTTCGAAACTTTTTAAAAAAAAATTATTTTTTTTTTAATTTTTTGTAAGGAAACGTTTCTAACGTTTCCTTTCTTTCTTTTTTTGTGTAGGTCTTTCAGTATTCGACTTCGGGAAGCAAGGAACTGAAAGGGTAAGTTTCGAAGCATTTTGCTTCGAAACTTTTTAAAAAAAAATTATTTTTTTTTTAATTTTTTGTAAGGAAACGTTTCTAAGTTTCCTTTTTCTTTTTGTAGGAACGCCGGACGTTTGGATGATGAGTTCGAAACGAACCAGTGAGTTTCACAACATTGTGTTGCGAAACTTTATTTTTATTTATTTCTTTTTAAGAAACGTTAACTAACGTTTCTTTATTTTACTTTTTGTAGGTTCCAGACGTTAGGATGATGGTAAGTTTCACAATGTTACATTGCGAAACTCAATTTTTATTTTTTTTATTATAAGAAACGTTTATATTAACATTTCTTTTTTACTTTTTGTAGGTTCCAGACGTTAGAATGATGGAAACGACCGGTAAGTTTCGCAATGTTACATTGCGAAACTTAATTTTTATTTTTTTTATTATAAGAAACGTTTATATTAACATTTCTTTTTTACTTTTTGTAGGTTTCGAACGTTAGAATGAGTGAAACGACCGGTAAGTTTCGCAATGTTACATTGCGAAACTTAATTTTTATTTTTTTATTATAAGAAACGTTTATATTAACATTTCTTTTTTACTTTTTGTAGGTTCCAGACGTTAGAATGATGGAAACGAACCGGTAAGTTTCGCAATGTTACATTGCGAAACTTAATTTTTTATTTTTATTTTATTAAAAGAAATGTTAACTAACATTTCTTTCCTTCTTTTTGTAGGTTCTGGACGTTTGGATAATGGAAATCAAAACGAACTGGTAAGTTTCGCAACATTGTGTTGCGAAACTTAATTAATTATTATTTTTTTTAAGAAATGTTAACTGACGTTTATTTTCTTCCTTTTTGTAAGAATGCCAGACGAAATTACGATCTGGACTTTGGTGAAAGGT